TAAGTCAAGAAGGGAGCTGTGACCATACAATTGAAGGCCCACCCCCTTTACCTGCATCATAACCATGGTGACCTTTTATATCCCGCCCAGCAGATGAATGTGTTATGACTTGCAAATAGAATTAGTTGTCCTTACCAGAAGATAGTTGGGCAAATTAAAATAGTTTAGCGGTTTAGAAAGCATTGTTTTGCTGACTTTATGTATGAAATCTTTCTAGCAGGGTATAATTTTGTAAACCAGCCAGGTGCATTTCTCTCTAAAGTCTAAGTGGAATTTGCTGTCTGATAAGCATACAGTTAATGTTTTTTTTAAAAAAAAACACCTAAAAAAACTGGCATTTTAATGGGTGGTATAGACTTTCTATATCCACTATACACAGGATTTCAGGCATATTCATTTGTCCGTATGATCATCTGCTTTTCATCTCTCCCCTCTGTAGAACACCATAAATATATACAAAAAACTAACAGAGAAGGTGATGCCTCAAGCTCTGGTTATCTACTTCACCATAAAAATCCTGCACATGGTAGAAGAGCTTCACAAGTGTGGAATAATTCATGGTGACATTAAACCTGACAACTTTATATTTGGTGAAAGGCAAGGATCTCACTTGTGAATGTTTGGAGATCTTTTCTTGTCAATCTGACTTGTTGCATTGCTTAATAGTAACCATTGCTAATTGCTTTTAAACAAGGTTTCTGGACAATGACACATGTGATATTGATGGCACATCTCATGGCCTGACAATTATTGACTTTGGTCAAAGCATAGATATGACCCTGTTTCCTGAAGGAACTGCTTTCATGGGGAAGTGTGAGACATCTGGATTTCAATGTATTGAAATGATTACAGGCAAGCCGTGGAATTACCAGGTATGGACTTACATGTATGATTTTAATACTAAGCTAATGTAGCTCATGTCACTAGTAATTACAGACTTTGATGATCATGGAGGAAAATTTAATTCAGAGATGTAGGTTTTGATTCAGATGTTACTAATTTTTCTTTAGAACACCTGTTCCAATGTAAAGTACTAATTGGTACAGTACTAATGTAAATTATCAGTGTATCTAAGATTCTGCATTCAGATCATGTTCAGGCTTGAAGCTCCCAGCTTGATTTGGCCCAGAAACACTGTCCACTCTAATCTATTCCAGAAGAGCATCAAGAATGAACCAGGGAAAGGAGACATTTTGCAGTTGGATCACATTCGTGGGGGGATGGGATTAAAAGCAGACATTTTAAAACAACTGAAGCTAAATATTTTTATATTTTTATTCCTTAGACTGATTATTTCGGAATTGCTGCAACAGTGTACTGCATGTTATTTGGCACATATATGAAAGTAAAAAATGAACAAGGTATCTGGAAACCTGATGGTACCTTTAGGAGGTTGGTCTGTAATTACTTTATTTCAATAACTTTCCAGAGACATATATTTTCTCTACTGTAGAATTGATCCTTACATGTTATAGAACTGGGGTATCAAGCTCAAGGTCTGCAGGCGGGATCTTAGATCTGACCTACGAGGCAGCCCTGGAAACAGAAAAAGACCAGCTTTGGTGCCTCTGCCAGCGAAAATGGAGTTTCAGGGCCCTCCCACCAGGCTTCGTTTTCAGCCGCAATGGGACTTCGAGCTGGCCATGCCCATCCTGGCCGCCCCCCCAACCCCCAAGGTCAAACACAACCCTGAAGCGGCCCTCAATGAAATTGAGTTTGATGCCCCTGTTATAGAAGATGCTATCAACCTTTGTTGTAATCAAAGTTGGGAAGCACAGGATTTGTGGACAATTTCTATTTCTATTTTTCAAATCCTGTGCAAGAATATGCAATTTATTTTTGAAATAAAGAATTAATTTGCTCTAAGGGTATTCTCCAATAAATGGAAAGAGCCAGTGCAAAGCATAAATATGTTCCTCGGATACCACTAGTATTATATTCCCCAGATGCACAATTATTTCTGTGTTACATTAAAAACTGCTCTACAGAATAATCTTAAGGCACTTTTAATAAAATCTGATTATGCTTGTAAAAATTAAGTAACATTAGGATTTTTATTTGCATTATAGCTCAGCTTATGACAGCTAATAGAATACATGCAAAAACAGTGATTAGCACATTTATTTTTCATGTAAAGGGCTCTCAAAGTTAGAAATACAATTATTTTAATTTTTTAAAACCATTTTCTATAGCCATTCAATTAGGATTGTCATTGAAAATACAAAAAGGGATGGGAGTCTGAAAGAATAGAATTTATTTCTGAAACCTAGAAAAAAAAAACCCTGAAGACAAACTGAACTGTTTTATTGTTGATCCAACAACCCAGAGTTGGTATTGACTAGTAGAAAATCTGAGATTCATTGTACAGCTGTTTTGGATAAAACTCTAGTCCATCTTCCAAAATAATTGACACAACTTTCTATTTGTGATGCTAGTTCTGAGAAACATCTGGCCACGTCTGGAGAAGGTTGATTTAACCCCCCCCCCCTTTTCTTTTCTTTTCTTTTTTCTTTAGGACTCCCAATGGAGAGATCTGGATTAATTTCTTCATCACTTTGCTGAACATACAAGACTGCAACCACTTGCCTTCTTTGGGAGCTTTACGATTAACGTTGAGAGACTTATTTTTAAAAACTTACTCCAATAAAATAATAGCTCTCCGTAACAGGCTTGCGGTGTTGCTTGTTGAAAACAAACGATCACGGAAGTAAATGATGGATTCTTGTGAAACAATGAAAAGTTTTTGAGATTGTTTGATCAAGTCTTCATGAAGTTTCATCTTGTTCCGTCAAGTGGCAGTTTCACTTTGCTTTGACTTGTAAAGGTTGGCACTGCACTGCTGCTTAAATAGTGGACTATTAAGTGATTTGACAAGTGTTGGCTACCCTTTGCTAACACTTCTCAAAAATGTTAATACTGGAGATGAACCCTCGTTTTGGAACTGGGCAGCAGAAAAATAGGGAACAAGGAGTGGAATGTTGAGAGAAAAATTAACATCAAGAGATTCAAAGCTTGAGAATGAAAATTGAGATGGTGAAGAAATCAGCTTAATCCCATCTAAATATCTAAATGCTCCAGTGTCTTTTTTCCCCCCTGTGGGTACTTTATGAACAATAAAATGTGCTTTCAAAGGAAAATTGTCTAGTCAAGTCCTTTTTAATTTTTCAGATAAAAGAGTAGAATAATAGTAAATAGAAGGCATCAAGTGTAATAGATAAGTGTAATAGTAACACCATACTTGAGTTAAAAGTACAATTATATTGTATTAAGGCTATTAGCCATTAAGTACTGACCCTGGATCAAGTTTTCTATATCTAAAGCTTTTCTATGATTGGTTTCCAACATGATGGGAATTGTAGTGTTCAGACAGTTTCTTATATAAATATGTAAAAGCAGAAACCAAACTGTCTTATAATTACAACCATACCTTTCATCACAATTCCTTATTCCCAAGAATAAAAACATTACTGCTGGTCCCTTTGTCATTGCTACAGGAAAATAAGTCATAGCTGATGGTCCCAACTGCAGTCAGTAAGTGACTAATGTATACCTATAAGTTGAAGGAAAAACACTTACAATTTTGAGAATAAGTACAGTAGGGGAACAAACTATTATCCACTGTGTACTTTGGAAAGCTTTCATCAATGATGGAAAGCAACCAATGACTTCAGGTGAAAGTAATTCATCTAAAACATCTGACACATACTGCATTGCTACATGGAGAGGTATACATCAGTTGAGGACAAACCCCAGACACTAGTGGGGAAGAAGGAGAGCAGATTTGGCAGGGATTTTCCAGAATAGAAAGAAGCTTTATTCTAGGGCAGCAGTCTCCAACTGTGGCAAGTTTAAGACTTGTTGGCGTCAACTCCCAGAGTTGACGTCTACAAGTCTTAAAGTTGCCACGGTTGGAGACCCCTGTTCTAGGGCAAGCACGCAGAGCATGGCTTCTATAATTCTTTCCGAACTCTTTAACAGCTATTCCACCTAGATGAAAAGAAGGAAGTGTGTTTAAGCCAATATCCCTGTGTCTTTATAGACTCATTGGTGGATTCTTTTTTCTGGAAGCCATTTTTGAAGAACAGCAGATATGAATTTTGAAGAGTAACAAATTTGGTTCCATTCTGATTTGTTCTCTAAGAGTCCTGAGCTTCTTGTACAAATAATTTCTTTCCAAAATATATTGGAAATATATTTCCCAGATAACCTTTCCCCCTCCCAGCATATACAGTATAATACAACACATACAGTAATGTGATGAACTATCCCAGAAGTGCTACCCCAGAAATTTAAAGATGCAGAATGTCAAAAACATTCCTGACAATAAGATTATTATATCCCAATTTTCAACTGAATCATTCTCAAGATGGCTTGCACTTCAACCCTATGCAAAAAATTAATGACTCTTGGTTCATTTGAACATACATGTAATTAAGCATCTCCATTTAATTTCAACCTCAATCTCATTTTTTTTTAAAGTCAAGCATACAAATACTTATTTTTCAACCTAACAATGTTGTCATATATTTGAATTTTGATATTGTATACACTTTGAATCAGGAATTACACTGAAACTTTCAGATACTGTGGAAAGTTCAAGGCTGATCTGTTTGAAAAAAAATCAGGTCAAGTGTCTTCCCTTTTCTTGATTTCCATCTCTGGATTAATGGAATGTAGAAAACAGCACTTAATGGGAGGAGCAAGACCAGTGAGGTAGTGTCAGCCTCTTAACTATGCGAACGAGTGCTTGATATTTAGGACTTAAATGCTACTATCTTAATTTAAACTGGCCATGGTAAAGTAATTCAGACATGGATTTACTTTCATCAGTCAAATGCATCCATGGACTCTTCTTTCAGAGAAGAGAGAGGGCCTACAGTGAACATAAAGACAAAGAATTAGCCCACTACAACTTTTGATGGAGGTGGATGAATGAGGAATAGTAATTAGCATTGGATCCTCTGCCTTTATTACTGGATATGTCCCTGATATTTCTTAATAACGTGGCCAACCCTCCCCCCCCCCCACACACACACCTGGATTGTAGTGGACAGAGCTGGATTCAGTAATATAACTTTCAATGTTAGGTATCCAAGTAATATGTTAAGTATGTAGGAGAATTCAAAGTACCAGTATTTCAAACAGATCCAATATGCTTTCCATTTGTAAAAAACACTGCATTTCATCTATTATATACTGTACATATTAAAGCTTTTGAGTGCTTGATTCATTGGAGGAAAGAACTTGAAAACAGCACCAATAATCTTTCAGTTGCAAGTAACAGATGGGACCAATAATAGCTTAAAGCTGGTACCTAGTGAATTCAAGAACAAATAAAATAGACTTGCTTCAAAAAGATTCCAGTTATTTCTACTCATTCTCTGTGTTACGCAACCCTGTCAAAAGCTGGGTTCCCTGGGTAGGTGTCATCTGGCGACAGATTTAAGATCTCATCAAGGCAGGGACCTTCTTCTTCTGGAGCTATCTCTGCTTCAAACATGCGTTGGAGTAAAGCATCCACAGTCCTGTATCCTGGGGCCAAAAACAAATCAATTAGCAGAACGTCTCTAAGTACAGATGTACCTGAAAACTCAAGCTACTAATTGCTACTTAACTTGGCCCACAGATATGAGCGGGGAATGCATTTTTGTTTGGTTGATTGTGCAAAGCTACATTGTGGACTAGAACAGCCTATGCTGTCAATATCATGACTGTTCTTTGTACCCAACACTAGAAGCCTTAGATAAAACCATACAGTACTGGAGAGGATAGGGATAGGGATACCTACCATTTGGTTTTGGCTGGATGATCAGCCTTTCTGATCTCTTCCTTTTGTGAAGAGAGTGGACACTACAACCTACATTCCCATTTACACACGTTTAAAGTTTGAATCCTTAGTATTAATAAAGTACATCAAATAACGGAAGGGAGCACAAGTAGGAGCAAGAGTATAGAAAGTGCAAAAGACCATAGCCACAACCACCACCACCCATCAATCTATATGCAAGTGAAATTGCTCTTTTTAGATAGTATGGGTAGAATCCAAGTTGTTCATGCTGTATTAAAATTTACTGTCTAAGTCTCTAAGAAATTTACCATAAAGCAAGGAAGAGAGACTTGTATGTCAACAAATATACCATCTTTCTGTGTTTTGAAAAGCAGCAAATCAAAGAGCCATAGAGAAAAATTGGTATCCAGTTACATAGGTTTTTCCAGCTTATTCTCATCTAGAAATTCCCTGAGTTTTCAACAATCAAGATTCTGGGCTGCACTAAGAATTACGGGAATTTTCCAACTTGTCTGGAGCAATGCAATTAAGGAAATAGGTTTATGTTCTCCCCCCCACCGTAAGGAAAAACCCATACTATCTTACAATATACATGCATGATTATTTGCTCCTACCAGTAGTTATTATTTCTCCATGCCCACCAATAAACACAAGTTCTCTGACAGTGCACTTACTTCTGGAAGCAATTTTAAACATCAACCCCTTAGGTTTCTTCTTCACTGCCATTCCCTCTTCGCTTCCAAGATCATTTTCACTGGTTTCAAGGTTGTCTATCAACCTACCATCAAAAAGGTCATCCCTAAAAACAGAACCCATCTACTTAATACATATATACATTTTTTTAAAATGACCTTTTAAAAAGTGTCTCTGATTTCAAGTTCTTTCTACCCATGTTTCATGGTTACCTCTGCAGAGGGCAAACAAATGAGGGAGGGAGAAAGTTATATGTGCCATGTTGACATAACACAAATGATATATGTCTGATGTCATATATGGGACATCATCATAGCGCCTACTGAAACGTTATGCCAAGAATCATTTAGCAGCTAACACAAATAGCATAAAATAAGGCCGTGCTCACAATATGTGCTAAACGATAATATTGTTTCTTTGCCTTGGTTAAATATACACTGCTCAAAAAAATAAAGGGAACACAAAAATAAGACATCCTAGATCTGAATGAATGAAATATTCTTATTAAATACTTTGTTCATTACATAGTTGAATGTGCTGACAACAAAATCACACAAAAATTATCAATGGAAATCAGATTTAGCAACCCATGGAGGTCTGGATTTGGAATTACACTCAAAATTAAAGTGGAAAAAAACACTACAGGCTGATCCAACTTTGATGTAATGTCCTTAAAACAAGTCAATATGAGGCTCAGTAGTGTGTGTGGCCTCCACGTGCCTGTATGACCTCCCTACAACTCCTGGGCATGCTCCTGATGAGGTGGAAGATGGTCTCCTGAGGGATCTCCTCCCACACCTGGACTAAAGCATCTCCCAACTCCTGGACAGTCTGGTGCAACGTGACATTGGTGGATGGAACGAGACATGATGTCCCAGATGTGCTCAATTGGATTCAGGTTTGGGGAACAGGTGGGCCAGTCCATAGCATCAATGCCTTCGTCTTGCAGGAACTGCTGACACACTCCAGCCACATGACGTCTAGCATTGTCTTGCATTAGGAGGAACCCAGGGCCAACCACACCAGCATATGGTCTCACAAGGGGTCTGAGGGTCTCATCTCGGTACCTAATGGTAGTCAGGCTACCTCTGGCAAGCACATGGAGGGCTGTGCGGCCCCCCCTAAAGAAATGCTACCCCACACCATTACTGACCCACTGACAAACCAGTCATGCTGGAGGATGTTGCAGGCAGCAGAACGTTCTCCACAGGGTCTCCAGACCCTGTCACATGTGCTCAGTGTGAACCTGTTTTCATCTGTGAAGAGCACAGGGCGCCAGTGGCGAATTTGCCAATCTTGGTCTTCTCTGGCAAATGCCAAACGTCCTGCACAGTGTTGTAAGCACAACCCCCACCTGTGGACGTTGGGCCCTCATACCACCCTCATGGAGTCTGTTTCTGACCATTTGAGCAGCCACATGCACATTTGTGGCCCGCTGGAGGTCATTTTGCAGGGCTCTGGCAGTGTTCCTCCTGTCCCTCCTTGCACAAAGGCGGAGGTAGCGGTCCTGATGCTGGGTGGTTGCTCTCCTACGGCCTCCTCCACGTCTCCTGATGTACCGGCCTGTCTCCTGGTAGCACCTCCACCCTCTGGACACTACGCAAGCCTTCTTGCCACAACTCACATTGATGTGCCATCTTGGATGAGCTGCACTACCTGAGCCACTTGTGTGGGTTGTAGACTCCGTCTCATGCTACCACTAGAGTGAAAGCACCGCCAGCATTCAAAAGTGACCAAACCATCAGTCAGAAAGCATAGGAACTGAGAAGTGGCCTGTGGTCACCACGTGCAGAACCCACTCCTTTATTGGGGATGTCTTGCTAACTGCCTATGCTTTCTACCTGTTGTCTATTCCATTTGCACAACAGCATGTGAAATTTATTGTCAATCAGTGTTGCTACCTAAGTGGACAGTTTGACTTCACAGAAGTGTGATTGACTTGGAGTTACACTGTGTTGTTTAAGTGTTCCCTTTATTTTTTTGAGCAGTGTATATAGTATATATATATAGATATTGTCGATGGGGAAAACAGATCATAAATAAGCAATATAAAAATAACAAGACAATAAGTGTTATAGGGCAGGGGTTTTCAAACTTGACAGCTTTAAGACTTTGTGGACTTCCAGAATTCCTCCTCCAATCATGTTAGCTCAGGAATTCTGGGAGTTGAAGTCCACAAGTCTTAAATTTGCTAAGTTTGAAGTCCCTTGTTTCAAATCAACATGTTTATTATTGCAGAATGACCCCCATCCAAAAATGCAGTATGCAGCTTGTATTCCAATGCTTTACCTGTTTATTCAAATAAACTGTTGTCTATTCCATTTGCACAACTGCATGTGAAATTGATTGTCAATCAATGTTGCTACCTAAGTGGGCAGTCTGATTTCACAGAAGTGTGATTGACTTGGAGTTACATTGTTTTGTTTAAGTGTTCCCTTTATTTTTTTTTTGAGCAGTGTATTATGTAAATCCAGTCATTTTAAAAATACATCAGAGTTTAGGACTATAAGCATGCTATGAATACAATTGATGTTTATTCCATAAAATGATAGCCAAACATATCATGCTTTAGAATGATATGTGAACCAAGGTCCATTTAAGAAGTAAACATACAGACCCTAGAAATAATCTTGCTGCCTTATTTGTACTAACTTAGCTTCCCACATAGTCTAAAAAAGTCTGACTAAAAAGCACTGACTCATCTAGATTAATCCAAAGTAAGATTTTTATTTGCTGGAGGACTGC